GTTATTCATCCTGGGTGTTTATGGTATCAGAGCAAACCTGACTTTCAAGTCTTAATCTGAACCTTTGAATAGAGTCTTGGAGACTTTTTTGACTGAGTCGTTCATCAATCTGTTTAAAGATTAGTTCTTATTTGAGAAAGTCTAAATGTTTTGTTTTGCTTTCAATTCTGTTGACAGCAGGGACTTGAGTAACATAGGAATCCTTAATGGTATTGAGATCCTTGGTGTCTATAGGATGAGCAAAAGGAAAGCAAATTTCTTGTCCAACTAGACTTGTTGAAATGCCTTGGCTATCAACTTTGAATAGGTAAAGAAGAGAAATAAATGGAGTTCCCAAAATAATAGGGGTATTAAGGTCTTTGACAAGGATGAAAGGTGTTTTAATACAAAGGCCCTGATTACAAACATGGGCTTTGGTTAACTTGTACTGAACAGTGAGTCGTGAACCATTAGCACCTTGAAGCTGTTCTTTGGTTTTCTCAAAATATTTCGTAGGGACAAGTCCTTCATTGATACAATTGAGATCAGCACCGGAGTCAATGAGAGCCACTGTATGAATGGTATAGTCTTTGTTGATGACAATTTTTAGATTAACAAGCCATTTCTAGAATGTTATCTGGGTTAGAAGGTGGATGTAAGTTTCATTGTCCTTGGTGGGATTTTCAGAAACTTGTTGTTCAAGTTTTGCAGAGGACTTAGGTAGTAAGGCATCTATCTGGGATTGTTGAAGAAGGATATGGCTTCTGAGGGTAAGAATATCATGAGCAGTAGAATCTTTCAAAACCTTGCCCTCTTACTTTAGGAGTGAAATCTCTTGCTTGGTTTGTTTGATTTCTTTATGGAGATCTTGAATCGTAATCGGCATCTGGGGTTGTGTACCAAATCTTTCAAAGATATCAGTAAGGTTGTAAGTATTTGGTATAACAACGGGAGTTTTGTCATTTCTTTGGCCAATGCTGTTGGTGAATTTAATCAAGCATTCCTTGCGTTGATCAAGATCTTCTATTTTGTCAATGAGTTCCAACATGAACTCTTGATCTTTAGTAATCATACAGATGCATTTGGTTTTGATACGTTGGTCATCCAAAGATGGGTTGGAAGAATCAGAATCATAATCTGTATCAGCATGATAGTCATCTTCTTGAATACCATTGATATCATGTTCGGATTCGTCATCAGAAGAGTTTAAAAGAATTTGCATCAGTTGGCTCCTGACAGTTTCAGGGAGATCGAGCTCATTGATCTTCTGTTTGGCTCTACAATCGCGTTTGTAGTGACCCATCTTGCCACACTTGAAGCATTTTATATCTGCTTTTGAGGTGGCAGGTTTCTTTTGAAAATGTTTTGGAGGAGGGGCATTTTTCTGTCTATTTTTCTCAGAGGAGAGATATTTATCTGCAAATGAGGGTTTACCCTTGTTATACCGTGACCTGTTTTCGTATCTCTTGGGAAAAGGCTTGCGGTAGCGGGTGTGACTTTTTCGTTTGGAAGGAGGGGTTAGGTTTTCGAAGCCGAATTGTTGGCAGAAAGTTCTTAATTCTTTTCGGCCAGTGGCATTCTCATGCTTGATTTGTTGTTGGAGTTTGAAATCGGTGCAGAGAGCAATTCCTTCAGCTGTGATAGTACTAATGATGTCACCATAGGTGAGGGAGTCATAAGGAATATGGCCATTGTGTTTTGATCTGAAATGCTTGCGAATTCTCTCAGCAAAAAGACTGGGGAGTCCAGCAATGAACTTTTCTTTCCAAAAGGCTTGGTTACAATCAGTCCTGGTGAGGACCTTTGAGAGGAAGACATCCATGTACAATCTGAAATCTTGAAGTTTACGACATCGAAGGTTGGCTAGAATTTCTGAGGTCTTGTCTCTAACAATTGAGAGGTCACCGAGGAATTGTTTGGCGATAGAGAAAATGAGAGTAGCAACTGCATATTCTATATCTGCACCTTCTATATCTGCACCTTCTTCTGTTTTGATAATTGTTCCTTCAGGAGTTGTTTTGACAGAGTTAAGAATGGCTTGTCGTTTATCTGGAGTGAGGATGTTGTCCCACCATCCTTTGAGTTGGCCTGTGAATCCTCCTACAAGGAGTTGTGCTATAGCATGATCAGAAGAGTTATTCTTGGTTTTGTAAGCAGTGCTGACCATTGTCATTTCTTGAAGTGTATTGAGAATGTGATACTCAGTTTTGCCATCTATGTTCCATTCATAAATGGTACCACCATGATAAGCAGCTTGGAAAACTGGCCTCGTTCTTCGATCTGGAGGTCAGGGAAAGTTGGCCTGGGATAATAATTTTGGGAACAAGTTGGTTCTAAGGTATTGACGTGTTGGTTCTGGAAGACCTCAGTAATTTCATCAATTTCAGTATCAGTACCAATTTCTTGGTCAAGAGTATTGATGGCTCTAAGAGGTCTGTCTGGCATATCGGGAATCGTAGTTATGGAGGTCATAAGGGATTCGATACACTTAATCCTATCTTGTGCTTCTTCAATGGCATTACGTTTTGATAGTTATTTAGACAAGTGTTAGGGGATTTCATGGGGTATGAAAGGGGGAGCATTGTCAGATTGAATGGGGATAATTTGTTCTTTCTAAAGTAAGGTTTCTACACGAGAAAGCTGATCGCCAAGTGTCTGGAGGTGTTGGTTTGTGTAGTTATTTTGTTCCATGATGCTTCGGACATCACGGGTCGTGGATGTGGTATTGTCATTGGCGCCTGCCTTTGTCTTGAAAGGAGAAGCAGTAAGTGTGACTGTTCCTGACGCCTTTGTCTTGAATTCGATTACGTCGGCTGGGGGATGGATGGCTTCAAGAGCCTCACCTCGTGATGTTTGCCAGGTAATGGTGGATTTGGTTGTAACATTTAAGGATTTGATTGTGGAGAAAGGAAAATCAATATTGTTGTCGAGACAATATTTTTCAAACCATGTGAAGAAAGGGGCTGAGAACTTGTGTTGTATGCAGAAAGCATACCACGTTTCTCTAATAAGGATGGTTTTTTGAGCTGAAAAGGTTTGGAAATACCATTGTCTTTTCGAATCATTGGTCGTAGAGTAGAAATCTTTGCGTAAAAAGTTTTTATCAGTCTCATAAACCTTTTCTATCATGTAGAGTTGATGAACCTGATGATCGAGATCTTCAAATTGAGAAGCATTTGGGGATGGAGGGGAATCATGATGATCTTCATTTAGGGGAGGGTTTTGCAGACCTTTGTTTTGAGAACTAATTTGTGTAGGTAAAGGAGTGCTGCGAAGAGGATGGATGTCTTCTTCCTCAGTCTGTATGCTAACATTGTCCTGGTAAATCGGGTTAGCAACTTCTTTGTTTTTGACACCAACGAGGTTTGGATACCTTGTAGGCATTCCTGAAAATGATTTTCGGGAAGGGGCTTTTGAATAGTTTGAGGGAGTAGCATGAGAGAAAGAAGATCTAGAACTTTCTATTTCTTGGATAGTAAGTCTATTGGGCCTGTTGGAGTTAAATCTAACCTTTACCGTGCCATCAGCTTATTGAGATATTTGTTCCAACCTTTTATGCTCGATCTTTAAAGGAGGAGCTGCATGCTCGAGAGTCCACTCTGTCGGGAAGGTGACTTCATTCCAAGTGATGGTCCTCGGAACATATGTTTGTGAATTTTTGCCACTAGCATGAAGAAGAAGGGTTACTCCTTTGGGAGACTCACGAAGAGCATGGGGGCTGACTTGGGTTGTATAGACTTTGTAGTGGATTCTATAGACAACATTGAAGGGTATGGCTCCATCCATCATTTTGTAACCACTACTTGAAACATTGAGGGTTAAAGTATGGAGGATTGTTGGATCATCAAGAGCTACTGAATAATTTGGAAAACAATTAAAGTATTGTGGGCCATCAAAAAGACTAGTTTGGCAAACTCCTAACAGAGAGGTTTCAAAATCGAGATGCCTACAATCCCTTAGGGTAAGCATGATAGCAGTGTTAAGTCCTTTTGATGTAAGAGGTTTAACTGCAACTTGGACAAGCCCTATATGTAGGAATTTGTACTTCTTTTTGTGTTCAACTATGGCTCTTTTTTGCAAAAGTTGGATAACTTCAAAAGGGTTTTTGAGAGAAATAGTTTGTTCAACAGTTTTGATGGAGTATCGTATTTTGAGATTGAAAGTCGAAGATTTGTAAATATCCCTAATGGGAACCTTGGGTATATTCCAAGTATCCCACTGATCATTCTGACCACTATCAATATTCTGTTCTTCTTGGTTAACTATCACTCTTCCTCCGAGAGGAGCTGACGATCATTATAATTATAGAAAGATAATTATTTTAAATATCTTTATGTCAATGGGCCTTTATTAATTAACCCAACAAGGCTTCATTCAAACCCAAGACCCCATCCATTGGTCCCACTCCTTTTAAACCCAAACCAATTAACTTAAATAATTAAAATAATTAAATTAAACCTATTAAATACAAATAATTCACAATAAATCACACAAATTTAAGTACACACAAATCAAATAAATAATTTACTCCTAACATTCCACAAATCAAATACCATATCAATTCAACAAATATAATTACAAAAATATAATTTAATTAAAACAAGACAATTAATCTACACACTTATTTAAATAAAACAAATCATTTAAAAATAAAATAAAAGAAATCAATCACGATTTAATCAAACAAATCATTTAAAAAAAATAAATAATAGTAATTAATTCTAATTAATTAATCCTTTAAAATATCGGGGTATTACATTCTTCCCCCTAACAAAAGGAATTCCATCCTCGGAATTCTCGAATCCATGAAATGAACCCTGTTTATTTATCCCAAATTTTCATTTTACCCTATCAAAATGTTTACCATTTTAGATATCCAATATGCAAATATCTATAGTAATGTGCTCACAATATATATATATATATCACCATCCTAAATCAAAACAATCCAGATACTAATGAACATAATGCACTTGTATCTAATAAGTCATGTCTACGTCTATCTCAAATAGAAAACATACCCTCAATTCTTCTGAGGTGCCCATGCATTACAAGGTGTGGCATTGTACACCATGCCCTGATGCAATTGCTGTATAGGCTGCCCCTGCGGTGGCGGTGGTGCTGGCAAGGCTGGAAATGTCTAAACCTGCACATATGGAATCTGTCGAGTAGGTAACGGTTACCACTGTCCTTGTTGCCGATGCTGTTTCTGAACCAACCCAGGACATCGTTCGTTGAATGCCCATACTTTCCACACTTATAGCAATGACCCCTAAATATATTTGACTGCCCTCCTGGTGATTACCCTATAATTGTCCCTGTCCAGTCTAAGGTGCTCCATTCTGCTGAGTGGAAACTCCATCTCTCTGAACTTCTGAATTACCCTTGTGTTTCTTCCAAGGCTGCTGGCCTTGGAATTTGCCCTTGTCATTCTGTCGGTTCCCGTTATTATTCACTTGCTCAGCTGACTGATTAGTAGAGTCTCTGCCACTTCGCTTCTCACCCCTAATCTGTCTGAAATCCTCATTCAGCTGATAAAGCTGCAAAGTTACATCCACCACTTGAGCATAAGTAGTGTAGGTTGGATTATCTGTAATAGATTGAATAATATATCACATCAATCCCTTGACAAAACTAGTACGTTTCTTCTCCTCTGTATCCACCTCCTCAGGAGCAAAAAGTGATAAACTTGTAAACTACTGCTCATACTTAGTTACGGACATGTTCCCCTGCACTAAGTTAAGGAACTCCGTCTTCATAATGGTTTTGATCGCATAAGGAAAATACTTCTCATCGAAGTGAGCACTGAACTGAGTATAGGTTAATGAAGTCCTTTCCTCTACGGAAGTAACTGACTCCCACCACTGGAGTGCATCCCCAACAAGCTTGAAGGTAGCAAGCATCTTCTTCTAAACCTCCGTGCACTGAACCATGCGAAGATGTCGTCGATGTCCTTCTTCCACTGGTGAGTTACTTTCGCATCGGTGGAGCCTGAGAATTCAGGTGGGCTCCCTTTTGTGAAAGAACTCCTAACCTTCTCCCAAGGATCTATCTCTACCACTGGTGCTGGTATAGGTACCTGTTGAACCTGTGGTTGATTCTGAAGTGCACGTGTTACCCCTGCTTCTATAGCCCAAGTAATGAGGTCGTTGATATGAAGAGGATATTCTGGACCTCTTCCCTGATCCTGAATCTACTAAACTTCTTCCTGTTCTACATGCAACTGACCATCATCATCTGGAAACCCAGGCATTTACTGCTCTTCCTCCATTTGCTGAAGCCGTAGGAGATATTGCTGCTTATGTGCCATTCTCCTCTGCTATCTGTTTCTTTACATGTTATGTCCTCCTCTAGCGTTAACCATGCTGTTTACACAGAAAGACAGACATCAGTACGATTTAAACGGACCTTAAAGAAATACAATGAATCCAAACTTAAGCTCTAAATAAAAGAGTACATAACGCGAAATTCACACAACAAAAGACACCCTAGGGACACTTGAACCTGGAGTGCTCTGATATCAACTGTGATACCCTCTAATTTTGGAACACGGGTTGATCAAATCCGTACAAAAACTTAAAGGATATCAAAACAATTAAAGTATTTAAATAAGCACAGATTACAAAATGAAATAAAAAATAAAATAAAACGCTGAAGAAAACTAATAAATAGTAAATCTATTAATAACTCCCAAATGGTTACAACTCGAAAATTCCGTAATTCAAGGACCCCTTAATCAAAAGTTACTATCCAGAATTTCAGAAATAAATATTAATATCAAATGAAATAATAATAATATCCTACTTTTAAATAAACCGAAAGAATGGATAAGTCCTATAGCTCTGGATCTTAACCTCGAGACTTGAACTTCTACTAATATAAAAAATAAATCGCGGATTAAACCCTACGAGCTAGCGTTCTCTATCAAGTCTTTGAAAACTAATAAACAGATAATCTCTACCAAAATCATCCCTAATGAAGCTTTAACTTTAATATACGATACTACGAATATATATAAATACTTATATATATAATACAACAATCCTATCTGTTAATAGGTTCATTAAATTGCCAAAACCATTAACCAATGATAAATTACTAATCATACCTAAACTAATCTGCCAACATATGTTTCTTTTAAAAGAAACATATCAATTCCTTAATTCCATCATAGACAATAATTTAATCATTTAAGCAATAAATTACAATTAAAGGAAGTATGCATTAAATCCAAAACCCAATAGTGATTTTTAGTTATTTAAATCACACAGCTAATATCTAGGCCTTGACAAATCATCCATGTCACACCAACATTATTCTATTAATATTTATAAAATAATGCACTAACCTGTAAGTACTATATTATTCTAGTTCTAATCCAACCTATACATACAATAATCACAGATGAAATTTTAATAATTTAAAACATAATAATTTAATTATGAAATGGCAATTTAACCATGCCATTATAAATATATCTATTTATATATTAACAATTCAACCATACTTCCTTAAGTATATTTATTTATACTTTTAAATAACAATTCATCCATACTTTCCGTTTATGAAATTTATTCATAAATAATAAGGTTATCTATTTAAGCCTTTGGCAATTCATCCATGCCTACAATTCAACCATATACCAAAATTTAAAACTAATTTAACCATAAGCCAAATCATACCTAAGCCTTCCATGCATATTATAAGCATACCATTTAATGTAACAACCAGCCTATTAAGATATACCAACCAAATTATCTTAAACAATATATACATCTACACATATATTATTTATTATAAATATATGTATAAACCTCTTCTACAAAAATCCCTTATTATTAAAATTATATATATATATATATATATATATATATATATATACGTATGTCAGTACATATATACATACATCTTTCCATACCCAATTATTAATTTAATAAATTAACGCCCATTAAATACCGTAGACATACTCTATGCCTCTCAAAATACCACGAACACATCCTCTAATTGTTGCTTTCAACCTTAACAGCTTAAAATAAATTTTGGGAATTCACGGGACCACACAGGAACTTCCAGGGACCTCAAACACCCCCGTACGCACTCCCACGTGCCGCCACATGCACCTAGACCCACTGCACGCGCCTCCACGCGCCGCCCCAAGCTTCCACATGTCATCACACGCCCTCACGTGCTCTCACGCGCTGCACACTCGCCTGATGACTCCTCTGGATGACATGGCGTCTTTTGGTTGGCTGGTACTCTAAGTTTTACTAGGTTGCGCCGCACCGGATAATTTCTAAGTTGAGTAGACCTAATCTAAGGTCCAGATGAACATGTGCACACTTTTGTGTACACTGCAATGCACCGAATCCATCCCTCTACCATCAGCCGCATCAAAGGCCCAGAACCACGCGCATACACACTTACTATATGCCGCACTGCACTAGGTCATACACCATTGTAGGCGCACCAAAGACCAGAGACGAACTGGAAATTTCTCAAACCCACGTATGTGTGTATATATATATATACTGTAACCTAAAATCCTAAACAACCTCTGAAAAATATTACAATAATCTGAAAATTTTCCAGAGAACCCAAGTACTTAAATTTAATATTTTTGGGTCAAGATTAATTTATAAAATAATATAAACATCATTTTAATAAAATTAATCCTCTTGAACATATTTAGATCAAACTTTAAAAAAAAATTAACTAAGGTAACATCACGTACAAAAATTAAATTATCCTAACAATTAATACATCTATTCACATGTTTAAATCTTAAATTTTTCAAAGAATAAACATGCTCATCTACACCGATTAATAAATTATTTTAATCAACAAAATAAAAATAAACTATAACTTTGATAATCAAGGTGATAAGCTTATGAGTTTTAAGAGGAGAAGTAAAAAAGAACTCGCCTGTCTCTTCCCAATCTGGTCTCCTCTTTCTCTGATCCGACCACCTTTTCGTCAGCCCATCTTCTTCTCTCTCTAACTCTCTTATTTTTCTAACGTGAAAAAACCCTTAACCCTAAAGTCTTATGCGTATATTTATGCACATTAAAAATCCAAATCATTTTCCAATTATGACTACCAAAAATAAATATAATAGTCTTTAAATATTAAATATATATATACACATATATATTATATAGTTTATATATATTCCTTCCATAAAAATCATTAGTTAGATATACCTATATATATCTCAATAAATATATATATATTCTTCCATAATGATTATGAATTAATTATATTTATATACATATAATTATATATATATAATTATAGAAAGATAATTATTTTAAATATCTTCATATCCATGAGCCTTTATTAATTAACCCAACAAGACTTCATTCAAGTCCAAGACCCCATCCATTGGTCCCATTCCTTTTAAGCCCAAACCAATTAACTTAAATAATTAAATTAATTAAATTAAACCTATTAAATACAAATAATTCACAATAAATCACACAAGTTTAGATACACACAAATCAAATAAACAATTAACTCTTAACATTCCACGAATCAAACACCATATCAATTCAACAAATATAATTACAAAAATATAATTTAATTAAAACAAGACAATTAATCTACACACTTATTTAAATAAAATAAATCATTTAAAAATAAAATAAAAGAAATCAATCATGAATTAATCAAACAAATCAGTTTAAAAAAAATAAAATAATAGTAATTCATTCCAATTAATTAATCCTTTAAAATATCGGGGTATTACAAAATGTAACAATTCTAAGTAGCATGCATTTAATTTAGCTCATAAAATTAACATGCATTTCAAATAATTGTACACCTCCACAATCTAATCAAATTTATCTAAAACCAAATAACTGATTAAAATAATTTAATCTTACCATATGTAATTAAATACATACAATATTATCCCACAAATTATTCACAATGTAATAATTGAATAAAAACCATTTGTTAATCCAATTACGTGTATTAAAATAAATTCCACGTTACTACCAATTTAAACATTATCTTTACTTTCCACAAAAGCAACCAATCACTAACTAGTGTCCAAAAGTGGTTATATTAATTAACCATGTAACGTGTTACAGTTATATTAATATTCAAGCTAAAGTTCCAACATTTAGCCAATACATTAATATCTTATTGGTCCACTAACTAGCGTCCAAAAATGGTTTTAGGATAAAATATGTATCAACAAATTAATATAATAAATGGTATATTTTTATTGATACCTTTTATCCAAATACCCAATCACCACTTAACCAAAAACACCACTTACAACGTTAGAACAAACCCAAAAACAAACAACAAAATATGCTGTCTTAACAGGAATTTCGGTAGACCGATTCCCTAATTCAGTCAGCCAAAACACCTATATCGGTTGATTGATACATTCCATCGATTGGCCGAAACACCTACTTTGGTCGACTGATACACTACATCGGTCGACCGAAACATATCGTCTTCTTTATCACGACTACTGTTTCAGACCTGCAACTCCACTATTTGTGTCCTAAATTGTTATAATGAAGTCTAATATAATTATCAATGTTATTTAATACAAAGATACACCAACCCCAACAATTAAAACAAAGAATCATGCATTAATTTATAAAATCATATAAACTCAAGAACACACAATAAATACATAATTTGTTCCCGTTTTAATTCGATTAAAGCATGTAAACAGATTAATTAATCTTATTAAATCATCCTAAAGTAGTCCTAGACATGCATTGAACCTTAGATCAAAGAAGAGGAGTAGAACAAAGAACTTACCTGTAAGGATTTCAGAACGAAAACCCAACTCATAGCCAACTCCTTGACGCCGGTAGCCTTCAGGTTACCGTCGTGCACCTTTGCTGGTCCGGTCCAACCCTACGCACAATCTCCTTCCTTCTTCCTTCTTTCAACTCTCGGCTCCCTCTCTGTTTCTCTCAAAAACTCACGTAAAAACCACCACCACTACAACAAATTAGGGTTCTTGCCACAAGGCACTTCGTGGCAAAAACCTTCAAATTTCGTGGCGAAAGCCTTTTAGCCACAAGAAATAGCTCGTGGCTCAGTCGTGGGCGTAGCCCCGTCACAGATTGCAAATAACCACGAATAAAAATTTTCGTGGCAAAATGTGGAACTTTTGCCACAAAATTTGAACTCGTGGTAAAATACCTCCTATCGCCACAAGCTATTTCGTAGCTAAATAACAATACTTTTGTGGTAATTAACAATCTCGATATAGGAATTAATCGTGGCTAATTCAATACTTTTGCAACGAAAATATATATCGTGGCTAATTTAACCCTTTTCCCACAGAGTTCATTCATGGCTATAAATCTAATTGCCCACGAATATACGTAGTGGCAAATATCCAAAAAGGCCACAGAATTCATTCGTAGCTATAAATCTAATTGCCCATGAATACATGTCATGGCAACTATTCAAAATAGGCCACGAAGTTTATCTGTGGCTATTCTATTATTAATAAAATAAAATTTAATTTAATAGCCAGAAATATATATTGTGGCAAATACCAAATATAAGCCACATATTTATTGTAGCACGATAAGAATTTGTAGCAAACCTATAAATTATTAACATTATAAACAAAAGAAATATTATAAAAAAAAAAAATTATCACATCAACACGATTATGCAAACAAATAAATACTTGATATTGTATAAGTTACACCAACCAAAAAATGTATTGTTTACAACACACATAATAAATCCCATCGCAAAAAAAAATGAGTCTTAGCATCTAAAACAATTTCAACTCCAATAATTTGGATCAAAACAAGCTAGTATCTTAAATAAAATGTTTCAAGATCCTAGACAAAAATGAGATATAGATTGCTAAACAATGAGTTCAAAGACTTGGACATACACTACTTAAACTATCTTAAACAAAAAGAACTTAAAGTCTTATAGCATGAGCCCATCCAAAAATCTGTAAAACAAACAATGAATAAATACAATTAGTGCCTATGTCAAAAAAAAAAAAAAAAAAAAAAAAAAAAAAAAATGAATCTACAAAAAAGTTATGCTGCTACAAAATTCATTTAGGATTCTGAATACTTTTTTAAGAGAGAAATGAAAAAAAGTTGGTAGAATTTGAGGGAACCAAATTAATAAAATCAAATACTTAAGATACTAATTCTTCCTATATTTCTTTATCTTTCTGTCTTAATATTTCCATGGAGGTTTTTGCCTACTAAGATCAACTACTGACCTTGTATTGCTACATCTCACAAATCTTCTCCTACTTTTCTTCTCCCACCTCAACCTCAAAGAAACAAAAATAAAAAGAGATAGACAATGGCACATATATCAACTCACCTTACAAGTAATTCTCCTTGAAAGCTTAAGCCTCCAGCAACCAAAAAGTTTCCACTCACTGCTAACGTGCTGATCTACCTTTGTGTAAAGTCTTCTAACAAGCTTCCCGCATGTCTCTAGATGACAAATTATTAGAAATAATTAGCCAAACAGAACATTAACACAAAAATAAAAAAAAATAAAAAAATAAAAAATGAAGGAAGTAGAAGAAAATTAGGGGAACATAAATAAGACTTCTTTTCATGAGAAACAAACATAAAGATGGGGTAAAGTCGTTCACAAAGCCTCAAATTGAACAAGAAATATGACCTATTTTTTGGACAACTGCAAATAATCTAATTTTATATAGGAGTTGAAATTAATTAAGGCAAAAAAAAGGCTATTAAACACATGAAAAAGGACACTCTTCTAAGAAAGAAGTGTCTATATCATACACATGAAAAGAAGAAGAAAACTATTAAGCTTTTGAAACTTCAAGAGGACGATGGAGAAATTAAGACAAAATCATTAACAAAGAAGAAATGCACATGCTTGAAACCCCTCCTCCAAAGTTCTTCACCTAACCTAGTATGCCTAGTAATTAACCCTCACAAAAGCTGAACAGCATGAGAAAACCCATTAAACCTCCCAATTCAATTCGTTTATGCAAATCAAAACAATTTTCTTCTCATAATCAACACTCAAAACCTGCAATTAATTTCAACCCAAGAAAGTAGACAATTAAATTAATAAAAAAATTATTAACAAATTAATATAATTAATTAATTAGTTGGGATTAAATTCAAAGTGTGTGTGTGTGTATATATATATACACCTGGGTGATCATATCAGAAGCTTTGCTCCAACGAAATGCAAAATATCTGAGAATACAGGTTTGGAATTCCTCCACCAACTTGACATACAGTGACTCAGCATTTTTCTCCTTAGCAAAATACTCATACATTTTTTCTTCACAGTCTTTGGTTTTCCTCAAATATTCATTAGCTAACTTGCATAATTGGGGACACTCACTTGCATCTTTAAACCCTATTTGCTTAACTGCACAAAGTATATATATATGTAACAAATAATTAAATATTTTATAAAACAAAATTAAGATTTTGAGAATTATATATATATACCATTTAACATTTACAAAGTGGTTAATATCTATCTATATATATATGTGTGTGTGTGTGTGTGTGTGGGGTAAAGCAGATATATATACTGACCAACATAATGAGAAAAAGTTTCATGTTTTCCTCATGAGAAGAGCCTGTGCTCTCAAATAGCGGAATAATATAGTTTTCTTTCTAGAATTTAGACTTTTTCTGGTAAAAATGAATAGCAGCGCCGGCGGAGATGAATCCCATTGAGGTTGCAGCAAGGATGTGTGCAAGAATGTTAACTTTGCCATATCCATCTAATTAAACATAAATATTTAAGAGTTTAATTAAAGACCTTTCTCAAATGATCAGAAAGGCGGAGGACAGTGAGAGTGTGTGTTACCTTTCTGCATGATGTTGTTTTATCCAAAAAAGAGTTAGGAAGGAAGGTTGTAGCAGCAAAATATATTTGATTGAGCTCAGAGGAGACTTTCTCTAACCAGTTGAAGAAGAAAAAAATGAATTATGGAGTAATTTATAAGATACCTACTTGTTAATTGCTTTTCCCAATGTAAATGGAAGCTTTGCACATGCCTCAATTAGAACCGTGTGAACAAATATCCCATTTTCTCTAACCTACCAATTCAATTCGTTTCTCTAATCAAAACAACTGTCTTAACAAATATCCCATTTTCTTCCCTTTTATTACATTTTCCCAACATCCAAACTGGAAGTCAAGAACAATTCAAAAATCAAACAATCTATCTAAAATAGTCAACATTCTATTTAGTATTTCTTCTATGTTCCTACAATTTTCTCAATGCCAGAAGAAAAATTAGGAACGACCAAGGAAACATCTAAAACACAATCCCATCAAAATTGCAAAGCATCCGAATTGAAATTTTCTATTCCTACATATTTCAGAAACCAATCAAATTGCAACAAGCTATTCAGAAAGGTGTACAATCTAAAGCATATAAGTTTTATAAAATTTTCAATAAGAAATGAACAAACGCATAAATATGGAAATGCCTATGATATACATATATATATGAAAAATCAGAAAGAAAACTTGCTTAACTTCGTCCCACCATCTAAGCTCGGCTTGAATCTTGTTGCGGAACACATTGTACAGCAGGGTCGGGTAGAATAGGATCCGAGCCCCCGCTCCGACTAACGCTCTCTTCGCATCGACCCGAACAATCTATCCTCCTCCACCAACACGATCTTGATCGTATTTTACATCATCGTCCAACTCTTCGGTCTTCATGTCACCGATCGCAACCAGAATTCGAACAAAACCAATCGAAACTATGTAAAGGTATAACAAGTTGTGGATTCAAATTTGTTACCCAATAGAGTGAAATCTACACCGATCGAAAGAGGAAAAGATGGATTCGAATGTAAGGACATGGAAATTCGGTATTTTTTGTGATTATTCGGGGAGAAATGGACACTCCGTTCACTAGGATTCTCAGTATCTACGTTGAATAAGAAGGTGAGAGAGTGTTAGGGCTTGGGTTGGAAAAAGTAAAGAAAGACCGATCAAGTGGGCGACTATTTGACCATCTTTCTATTCTTCGTCTGCGTCCCTTTACCCATTGCAGCACATTAAGAAAGACTTTCTAGACCATTCCGTGTTTGAATTGAGAGAGGGAGATAAAATATCTTTGGGCGGCAATCCAAAATAATTGAGCCGCGCAAATCAATTTTTTTGGGTGAAAATAAATACTGTACTTAAATAAAACACTTTCTACATCCTATTGCTCTAATAAATAAATAATTATCATTTCAAAATTATCTTGTTATATTTTTTTAAGATATAAAATTACTCCATTAATTGTCATGTGACAATTTTTACTCAAAACAAAGTTGATAACATACCACTCAAATTTGAACCTTTTTTTTTTTTTTTTTTTTTTTTTTTTGCCAACTATACTAGTAGTGTCAAGTCTCTTAGAATTATTCTTTTTAAAAAAAAAAAAAAAAAAAAAAAAAAACTAATTACTTCTTTCTAAGCCAATTCTCGTTAATTCAATCACAATGGATAATTCAATCATTTTTTTATTATACTGGAATCAATGATAATAAAAAATTTGATCATGTGACCAAACTAAGATCAATTAAAGTATAACTTCACTTATATGTAATAGTATAGTGTTGTAATAGTAATTATAATATTTTAATATTTAATACTAATTATTGTATCCAACTTAGTGGTATGAAATTAGGTTCACTAAAAGTCTATCTCAATCTCAATACCGATTCAAGGTGATCAATTAATATATAATTGAATAGTTCATATAATAAGTTAATTATTTATATTTTTGTGCATAAATATATGTACACTCTATGTGAATTATATTTAGGGAAGTATTATTAGTTGTTAATTAAGTTTAATTATTTATTGATTTAGTACTTGATGAATAAGTGTGTGTATATTATACACATTAATTGATACTAATAGATTTCTTCTTCTTCTTCTTTTTTTTTTTTTTTTTTTTTTTTTTCATGCAGCATCTGATTGGTTAGATTATGGAAGTGATCGGTAGGATCAAATCCTGTTTCATCACGCTTTCTAAAATTTCATCCATTTGATCGGTCACTTGGACACATCTGATCGATTACATTGGTGAACTGGTCGGTCAATTGATAAACCACAAAAGATGCGAGTTCATTGGTTTTAATTAGCATCCTATCAATAGTATGACTGATCTGATCGGTCAGATGAAAAATAAATAAATTTTCTGTTTTAGTTATCTGATAAACAGCATGGGCTGTTACTTCTGTATACCTTATTTCCATTGAAAACATTTAAGTAAATAAGAAAGTACCCCTTATTTGGATTCAATAAAAAAATACAAGAAAATTAAAGTCTAACTAAATCAAAATGTAAAAATTTATTTTTAGTACAAATTGGAATTCCCGAAAGTTTTGGTAAAACTTGATCCTGTGTGTATACCTATGTAGAATTGATGAAAAAATCTCATGAAATCAGTTTAGGCTGTTTAAAGTGTAAGGGGTAATTACCGAACAAAATTATTTTGAAAATATCTTTATTTCAAAAAATCATATTTTCCATACTCAGCCAAAAAACCAAGAAACAGTTTTTCATGAGAAATGCCGGAATCATAAAGTCATTTACCAAATCATGGTAACAAAAGTTTTGTGGATGAAAAAGTAAGTTCAATGCCTTAGACTCTACTTTCTAGAGACCAAAATAAAACATATGATTGATGTGCATGGTCTTAACATTTCTAGTTAAAGTATTGAGTTTTTTCAAAGCTTATACAAGCTTGAAGTAACTCATTCTTTTAGCAATGACGTCATGTGTCTATGCATGTGAATGATGATATGATATGCATGGTCCTATAGAGATGAGCTTCAAATAGGTTCATAAATACTTTGACATTGAATCATAAACACTTACCATATTATCTACCCCTTTCTTCAAGCTTTGTCGATCCATAAATGATTGTTTAAGCTTTAAGGTATTCTTACTTGCTTCCAATTTCTTTGAGTTGCTTGTTTGCTTATTAATTGTAGTCGAAGTTATCTTTGGATGAACTTGCATTTGGTTCCTTGCAACTTCATGTCTCTTTGTATCCATTCTTTTCCATTGATGTGATCTTTATTGCTTCATTGAGGTCATTTTTTGAAGATGAATAATTTATAATACTCAATGTATATAATTAAACATTAATCCACAAACACCATTAATGGTTTGTAATCATCAAAACCAATAGATTGTCTTTGGTTTCAATAAAATCCAACATACTTTTAAGATCTTTTATTTCATTTAATTCCTAAATCACTAAATATTTTATCTATACCCTTACTAAATAGAAGTAAAATTTTGTAGTTGTAAATTTATTCAAGATTTGATGTATGATCTATTTTTTTTATTATATCTCAAATTTTTAATTACTTAAAAATATTGCATTATGGATTTTTATATATATATATATAATGATTAATTTAAATTAAATATAAGAATGTTTGGTACGTTTTTTTTTTTAATCTTTTCTGTATGGTAATGAGTGGTAAGGGTCAAATTTAAAGGAAATGCCATTTTGGAGTTTTATTAACAATTAATTAATTTACTTAGGGATTCGGTGTTCTAGGCCCCTTATTTAAGGAATTACAAAAACTAAATAAATAAGTAAATAATAATAGTCAATCAAGAAAGATATTCTAATTGCCACGAAAACAAATTCGTTGCGAAAATGACATTTCGCCACAAGAATTGAATATTCGTGGCAAAATAGTTCCTTATTGCCACGAAAACAAATTTGTTGCAAAAATGGCATTTCGCCACAAGGATTGAAAATTCGTGGCAAAAGATACTATTTGCCACGAATAAAGCATCGTTGCGAATAACTAATAGATTTGGCACGAAAATAGTTACGTGACAATAGAGTATATCATAGCCACAACTGATAATTCGTGGCAAGGTCCATCTTTTAGCCACGAAAAAAAAACTTCGTGCTAAAAAATTATATTTGCCACGAGACTAACATCATGGCAAATTGTAAAGCGATTTGCCACGAAAATATATACGTGGCAAAAGAAACATACAATTGCCACGAATAGAAATTCGTGGCACAAATAGCATTTTGCCACAACTTTGTATGTCGTCCCTAATTCGTCGTGGCAAAATTGACATTTTACCACAAATTTTTAGGTCATCCCTAATATTCGTGGCAAGAACTAGTATTTGCCACGAAAAATTTACTCCGTGGCAAATACTCGTATATTAGCCACAACAAGTTAATTTTGTGGCCAAAAGATACTTTTTGCCACAAAATTTTACGCGTGGCAAAAAAATTCGTGGCAAGAGCCTAAATTTGTTGTAGTGACCCTTCTACAGAACTTTAAATATATATATAGACTATATAATTATCATAAATTAACCCTAAACAAATCCTAATTTTGTATAAAGAAAAGAAAATGAAATAAAATAACTTAAAGTAATAATAATACTAAATATATACTTATCTAATATGTAATATATATATATATATATATATATATATATACATATCTAACAAAAACTACCATGTATTATTAATAATAATTATTTTTATAATATCCACATTTATATATATACGCAAATAATATAAATATATATATATGTCCAATGCCTATGGGCCATAATCCTACCCCTTTAAGCTCTTATCCAAGTAGTCCATGTGACCCATTTGAGTTGGTCCATTACTACTTTCCAAAACCACTCCTTTTAAATTAAAATAAAATAAAACAAAGTAAATAATCTAAATACAAATAAACACATAGCATGTAAACAAATAATTATACATCGTCACTTAATTCTACAATTACCTTCAAATAATTAAACACATCATTTAAACAAATAAATTCAAATAAATCATTTAAGCACATAAATTACATTTAAACAATTAATTCAATTAAACACATAAGCAATTAGCCAAATAACCGACTAAACAATTAAAAATGCAATTAAAATAAATAAATAAATACCAAGACTATCTTTTTAAAATTAAGGGTATTACATCATATCTGTAGTAGTATCAAGGAAATTTTTTTAAAAAAGAAAAATTTAAAAAGTAAATTTGTTTTTTTAATTATTCTTCATGTAAAATTTACAGTGTTTGATGAAAAATACGTTGATGTGGTTAACAAAAGCATAGGTACACGGAGAGTCGTGGTGATGGTGGCTTGCTGGGTGTGGCAATGAAGAAGAATATGATAGAGAGAGTAGTGAAGAGTTGTGAAGGAATCGTCCAATTCATTTTCATGTTGCCATTTGCCAATACGTCTTCCTTGGAACACATGAAGACCCGCGGACACTTTGTAATTATATTAAAGGGAAATATTATTTATCATATTGGGCTTCTTATATTTGTCCAATATTTTATTCTTTCTTACATTTTTTTTTGGTAAGGGGGGGGGGGGGTTGTTAATGGTAAGCTTTAATAAATGAAAATAAGAATATACATGAGAAGGTCCCCATAGGACACAACCAACCCAAGCAACCAAGAAAATACAACAACAATCCGTTCCCTCTATCAGAGAGAACCTAGAACTAGGTAGCAAACCACCTAATCAGAGAGACACCATGCTTGTCTTCCTGTAAAAGAGTATCCTTCTATAAACAATTGTAGTAAGTCTTCCTGCTCTCCAGGTAATCTAAGATCACCTCCATTTCTCAGCTTAAGAGATACAATCTTAGCTCTTCTACAGCTTTTGATGAGACCTATAATGTGTAGAGGAGATGAAGATTTGTTCCTAAAAGCTCTTGCATTCCTCTCCAACCAAATAAAATAAATTAGAGGAGAAGCTTGTAGGTATTGTAATTCTTTGAGTTCCATGTGACGGAACACCAATTGATGAAATCACTCCAATTGTCAGGCAGTATATAGAAACCTGTTACATGCTGAATGAACTTCCAAATATGAGCATTGAAGCTGCACTTAAAGAAGAGGTGGTCTAATGATTTATTACCAGAGAGGCAAAGAAAGCATGTGTTGACATAATGTTTGTTCCTCATTGGCTTTAAATCTAGTATATACAATCTACCTCTGCATGCAAGCTGATAAATCACACTTTGCTTTGGTATGTTGGTCTTGAACCAAACCAAATGAGACCATGCAAATGAAATTGAGGGTGGAATGAGGTATTTGATAGTATGTGCTAGTGAGCACTGATTGGTAGACTTGTGAATGATCGAACTGTAAATGCTATAATGATGGTGGAATCACCTATTGATTAGTGAAAATTAGGCTATCAACTGTGATATATGGATCCAGTTCAAGAATTTCCAGATTAGATAGGTTGAGTTGTGAACATAGTGGCCTATCTGGCAACCAATAATCAAGCTACATCATGGTGTCAGTGCCTGCCCTTACTCTATGCTTGATTAGTCCTCTGGCCATCC